AGGTCTCCGACTCCCCGGGAGGATTTGGGCCACCCTTTTCCCCCTCCCACAACAGCTGGTCCTGCAGGGATTTATGCCTACTGGGTGCATCTGTGTTTTGCCCGATATTCCCTGGATCCATCCATTAGCCTCATGGGCTTGGTGGCTGCAGATGTTACTGGGAATCTATCCTGACTCAAGGGTTGGTCGGCAAGCAGACCTTCTTCTCTGGAAGCTGGACAATTCCCTGATACCTTTCAATGAAGAACAAATGTTTTAAAAAAACCCCTGCCTTTGCTTTCGGTGGCATTCCTTCCATTTTGCACAGATCTGCACAGTGCTATGCAGTGTCCAGAGCCACAGTGGAGGATAAGTGTGTTTATGTTTGTCTGGTCCCATCTACACCAATAAGCAGTTGAAATGTAGCCTAGCTAGCAGATCTGGTCAGGCTGGAAAACTTAGTTTTGAATGGGTTTTTGTTTGTTTACAAGTGATCTTGGCCATAGACAGGGACACGCAGCTGGTGTCTCTGCACAGCTCCACAATCAGTTTGAGGCAGGGCTCTGAGCCGGTGGAGGCTGGAGTGGGGCTGAGCTCTTCCAAGCTTATTCCTGGTTCAATTTGGAACTGGCAGTGGAGAGGCTGCTACTCTGCTGCCTCATCCTGAGGGCTGGCATCTTGGGGCCTGGTTTGGCATTGCCTGTGTGGGCAGCAGCATCCAGCGCCCGGCTGTGGCTGTGGCTCAGCGCAGGCGCTCCATGGATGCCTCTGCTCGCTCCAGACCTGCTTCTCCCACAGACCAGAGAACACCTCTCACTGTTAGCAATGACTTTTAATACAAATAACGCACAAATATAGATGTTGTTCTTCCTCCACTAATTATAATCGCATTAGAAGTGGTAGGAGAGGTGCGTGTCTGAAGAGAGGGCTTTTGCATCTCAGAGGGGGCTTGGCAAGTGGCTTTTGTGAGATGTTTGTCCTGGCTGCGGGGATCTGTGTGAGCAGCTATTGGCACAGCTCAAGCAGAAATGACACAGCAGAGATTTCTAATGATAACTGATGTGCTGAATGCCAGCCTTCAGAAGACCTGTGTCAGGCACTGGGGGGAAGGAGCATGCCCAGCCTCAGGAGACTTGTGTCAGGTGACTGGGGAGAAGGAGCAACATCAGCCCATTGGTACCTCAAACCTGCTATTAAGCAGTGGTTTCCTGCAGCAATGTCATGATAAAGGGTGGTGGAGGGGGAGAGTGCTGAAAGCTGTGAGCTTCCAAGCAGGATCTGTTTCCCAAACGCTTGTTGAACAGTGGCAGGCTCTCACAGGTGTGGGCATGGGGAAACCTGTTAAATTAAAGCCAAAGCGTAACAAGAGAGATGTTTGCTTTGGAAGATAAGGTGTACCTGCTCTGCATGCTGAGAGTGAGGAAACTCAGACGTGTTTTCCTTTGTTACCACAGCAGACCCTTTGCACTGTGAGGCCACGTATCTCCCCCTCCTCCCTCTCCATTACCTTTTAAGACCACGTATCTCTGTCAGCTTTACCAGAGCCTCCAATCTGATAACCCAGAAGCATGATAAATGGTGGCAATTGCTCCTTTTCCTCCATCAGTACTTCTCATTGTGGAGCTCCCCTGAGCACACCAACCAAATTTGCTGCCCAGACTGATGGAGTTATGAAGATTTCCAGATCTCCAGTACCTGCAGCCTGGTCTCTGGCTGGAGACAAGGGAAGGGCATGCCCTTAGCAAGGTGCCCTTCAGTGGGGCTGCTCTAATGAGCCAGTTTTGTTATCTGCCTTGTGCTGGTCCTAGAGAGGCTGCAGGGATGTCTGCTGCTTTATTTTCTTAAATGGCACCAAATGATGGCAGCTAAGAGCCTACCAGGAGAAAATAAGCTCTTAGGGCGGCACTTCATGTCTTATAAGGCTTTATTGGATTAACTTTGTGCTAGAACTGCTGTACGCTTCCTTTGCTGGAGAGGCCGATGTAGCTTAACTGTGGGATAAAAACTTTGCAACTCTATTTTTGTCACACAGGTGACTTGCATAAAAAAAAGTCTTTACATGCATTAATGTAATCTTTGCTTTGGCTAGACTGCAAAGCAGGCTCTTTCCCAGTCATCTCTGTTTCTATCTTAATGCTGCACTCATCCCAGCATTAAGCACCTAACTCCCTTGCTCTGCTTCATATTTTCCACGTTATGAACAGTGTATTTCCTCTCCTACACACCCCTTGCAAACGTACAGACACTGAGAGAAACTCCCGGTGTTACTGTTGCCGTTCAGGTGATGCCTTTGCCTCTGTGGATACCTGCCAGCCTGCAGAAGGGAGACCTGCATACTTTCGGCTACTTCCCTGTTATTTACACATCAAGTTAATAACTGACTCAAGAGTTCATCTACAAATACATTTTTAGGGCTGCTTGTGGTAAATCTTTCCCCTCTTGGCCACAAAGCTCATTTTCTGTAATTTCCTTCCTATCTATTTCCCTTAACCCTAATCCATTTTAACATTAGTGTGTTAGTTTTGAAACAGCCCCTTCTTCTCCCTTACCTGCTGATTATTTCTTTTTTTCACTGTCCTCTCTCCCTACTTCTGTTGTTTGCAAAAAAAGGCTTTTCTCCTCCCTCTCCCTCTTCACAGCTCCCACCATCTGTCTCTCTACAAATACAAAGCTTTAGGGGAAATGATTCACTAGGCTGCTAGCTCATTACTCACACTCTCCCCATCATGCTTTCTGTCCTTGTAGGATGCTCTGACTAATGTAAAGATCAATGAATCCTGGGAATTGTTATTCAATTAAAAAAAAAAAGAATGCCCCAGCAGTTAAATAGATTGGGTTCTTTGTACTTCCTAAACACCAATGCTTAGTTTTTCTTCCTCACTCTGCTAGCATCGTTTTTCAGAAAAAGGATCATTGAAACCGAAGAATAGTAATGATCACTGGACCATTAATGCAACCTTTTGTATCACATGTTGCAGGAGTTACTTAATGAAATTCCCTGGCCCAAACCAAGCAAATCTGTGGTAAATCTAGAGCACATATTTTAGGATGACAGCCAAAATGATGAAAGGAATTTACTATCCAGCCTTGCTAATCATTCTGAATGCTTAACTGCACTCCCCAATATGCTGCTCTGCAAGCAGCAAAACTAACACAGCCTCACTCCCTACAGATTTCTCTCTGCTGGCCTTACGCAGGCTGTGCACCCCAAAAACCCTCCCAGCCCCATCCAGAGGCTGAGTGGCCGGCTGTGACTCCTGTGAGCACTGGCTGGCCTGCTGACCACCTCTGGGCAGAGACTTCCACAGGCATGAACCTCCTCACCTCTCCCTCCAGAGCACGCAGGTTTGGGGCTAGCTCTTTGCTCAGGTGATTATTTCTGTGAAACTTGTGGGCATGTAACATCTTTGAGCTTCTCCCTATTAAATGCGCTAGAACTTCGCTAAGGGGCTCACAATGTTAAAATACTTCAGGTATCTTAGAATACCAGACAGCCACACTGAGCTGGCAGACAGGCTACAGCATTTCAGGAGACTTGTTCAACCATGAGGCTGAGCTCAATATTGTAAGGTGCTCCTACTGACCCTAGATGTCAATGTCTAGGTAACCGCATCTCCCACTCTTTTTGTCTTCACTTGGTTGACCTTTTAAGAAGGATTTCTGTCATGATTTCAGGCTTGTCACCATATACTATAAAGTTATTTTCTTAATTGGAAGCATAGTTTTTCAATTTATCACGTGGGAAATGGTTCTCCTTTCCACACACACAAGTGGATAACAAGAAGTACCGCTACCTAACACAATTTTATTGTGCCTTGTCCGGAAGCTGCTGCCATGGCAGGTGTTAGCCTATTTCAGTTGATGAGCTTTCCTTTAGAAATTGGAGTTGTAAGAAGCACAGAAAGTACCATGATCAAAATTATAGAAGTTGATGATACTGGATACACCCTTCTCCCAGTTCTCTTAACTGGCTGCATCTCTTTATGCAGAAGCCTGCTAAAGGAAAATCTGTGTATATCTGTGATGTGGCTCTTCAGTTGTTTCTCATGAACACCATAAAGCTTATATATATTTATGTGCTCTGTAAAAAATAAAAGTTCAAATTTTAGCAGATGTGATATTTTTGAGCCTTCCTGGTTGCCAACACCTTGTGGCTTGCCAACATCTTCGATTATTTTATTGTTGTATACTGCATACAAGTTGTAGGAGTCCATATTATTCCTCTTAACGATTGCTGGCTCCAAGTGCCAGTTGTCCTTTGACATGCTCTGTTTTGAATAAGGGCTGAGGAGCAGTAACGAAGCTAAAGGCCTGCTGTAAACAATAGTGCAGCGTTCCGTGGTACTGGCAGCACATGCGTAGTCATGCCTTTAGCTCTCCTTTCGTGGACTCTTGCAGCAACACACTGAAAGTGTTCAGGGCCGAGGTGTAAGGAAGTGGAACTCCAAAGATTTCAGCTTTGAGAGTCCTCTAACTGAAGTCGGTATCTTTACGCAAGATAGGCTAAGGAAAACTTGTGTCACCCAGCGGTTACCATTCTTCCGTTGTTCCCAGCAATAAGAAAAGCTGGCACAATATATAAGGTTGCCTTACAAAAGACAAATATATTTAATTGAGTGTATACAAATCAACTGTTTGATAATGCTATACAAGGCAGGAATATCTTTAAAGAAACCCTGAGCAAAACGGAGGATGTAATTTCTATTTTACACTTATTGTAACATTATTTCTGATATTCGTTTGCTATATCAACTGATAGAGGAGTATGTTAAAAACACATGTTAAAATAAAACTGGACATTCTTTTCATTTGCAGCTTATTAAAAAATGTAGAGAAAATAGTTCTGCCCTGTCAGCTTTAGAAAGACATGTTTAATGTGGTGGAGAACAAGCCGAGCCTGAGTTACCCAAGACAACCAATTCCTTTAGCAGAAAGAGAAAAGGGCCATCTGGAAGAGCATTGTCTCCCTGCCAAGAACAACCCTCTAACAACTGCTTATCGTGCACTTTAAGTAATAATGTTCATAATGGCACAACCTGGAGCGTTGGTAAAGGTCCTATTGGAGGAGCAACATACTCCTCCTCCCTCAGTAACCGCAAAAGGATGTTCTTCTTATTCTTTGGCCAGTTATAAATGTGAGTGTTCTGCAGCCAGGTAGGCACGTGTTCCTGAAAAACAAGATTGAAAAAAGTGAAATTCCCCAAATCCTCTTGAATCTGTACCAGAACCTTGCAGATTCCATCAGATCCTGCCAAGAGAGATTTCATTTTGTCTGTTCTAGGCACTTCCCATAACAACAAGAAATTTTAATTTGGCTTCAGAATTGTATTTGGGTTCCTAAATAAATGAACTTCATGTGATCTCACAGCTTGCCTGTCTCTCCTTCTTTTCTGCCATCACATTGGCTAATTTCACCACATTTCAAAGGGAGTCTAATCTCAACGACAGGCATCTAAAGGCTTGTGAAAATAAACATTGAGAAGACAAGGGAGACATTTCAGTGCCCTCACCAGGGAAAAGCTGCCACGTTAGTAGCTGCTGAAGGATCCACCCAACATGTTCAGCCTTGAGATGTGAATCAATAGGGGAAGAGCAGGACCCCAAGGCAGCATTTCTCATCCTGGTAGCTGTCATGGGTTTGTGTCTGGTAGGGTTTTTTCTGGTAGTGGGGGAGGGTTGTGGGGGTGACTCCTTGCAAAATTTCCAGAGCCTCCCCCAGTCCCAGGTAGAAGTTGGACCCACCTCTGGCCAAGGCCAGGCCAAGCAGTGCCTCTGTAATCCATGTATTTAAGCGCGGAAAGCTGTTGGGCCAGCCTCTATGTCTCTTTTTCTCTTGCCCTGTCTTTTGTGTTGGGGAGTTTTTGTTTTGGAGAGGAGGGGGAGGTGAAGAGAGAAACCATGCGATCAGTAAGGACAAAGTGGTGGGAAGAAGGGCACTGGGGCAGAGATCTCCCTGAACCCATGCTGAGATGGCAGGATGATAAGAGCCTTCAAACCAAGAAATTAGGCAGAGAGACATCTGGGATGCAGCAGCATGTGGAGGAACCCATGCCAGGGAAGAGAGACCATGCGGGAGCAGCAGTGAACTGCAACTCAGAGAAGGAGCAGAGGATACTGCAGCCTGCAGGTGGATACCACGCTGGTAGGAAGGACTCGTGGAGGAGGAGGATTGTCTCCCATGAGATGGACACCACGTGGCATCAGGGGAAAGACTGCAAGGAGTCCTTTTCCCAAGGAGGAAGGATTGACATGAACAAAGAGACCACACACCCCAGTCCCTGCCTCACTGCACTGCTTTGGGGGAGGAGGTAGCTGTGAAGAAGGGAGGGATGTGAGGGGCAAAAGGTATTTAAGATCTGGTTGTATTTATTTACTTTCACTATCCTAGTCTGATTTAGTTGATAATTGGTGGTGGTAAATTAAATTTGTGTTTTCTCCCCAAGTCTGTTCTGTTTTTTGCCTGTGGCCCTAAGTGGTGAGTGAACCCTCCCTGTCCTAATCTCAATCCTTGAGCCTTTTTGTTGAATTTTCTCACTCCCCATCCTTAAAGGGAGGGGGTGGGGATGAGCAAGCAGCTGCATAGCTCTTGTTCTTGATAGGGTGGGCTCAAACTATGCCTTCTCCCCCTTCCCCTTGCATGTCCCTTCAAGTGTGGTGTCCTCTGGCCACTTCCTGTGCAGGAGGTTGAGGCCATTGCTGAGCTCGAGGAGTGGCTAATGCATCTCCAGATCATCAGGATCAAACCTCCACCACTTCCTGCATCCTGAGAAAGACACAGCCTTTCAGAGGGGTTGGCTAATGCCCATTAAAATAATGAGTCTGGGACAACCATGTCCCTAGACAGTAAGGGTGAGCTGATGGAGAGGAGCCTGCTCAGACCTCATGTTCCCATGACTCCACAGCCGTGGAAGGTTTCCATATGGACAGCCTGGATGTGTAGTGGCAAAGGGCACACTACTTATTAAAACAGGGTGAAAGACTGATTCCTTGACCAAAATCAGCGCATGTCCACCTTGGAGTTGAAGATTTCCTTTTGGAGAGCTATTGTTGGAGACACCAGAACCAGCCAAAGTGAGATGGTGGGTAAGAAATGTGAGCAGTCAAGACATCCAGCTCTTGCTCCCTAGACCTCTTATTTAGGAGGGCAGTGTTTTCCCAAGGTGGCCCCTGTTAGAAGCAGCACAGTTTCTGTCAAGTCGGTGGAGCTAGCTCCAAGAGGACAGAGCAAAAAGCTGCTGGCATGCACCGCATGTCTGGTGTCTCTCCAGGGGACACCCTGGCACAGGCAGCACAGGTCTTGCCTGCCAGCAAACAACCTAGCTGCAATCCAAATCCTTCACTCCGAAGCCTGGTGACTCTCAAATTGGCTGTCTTTTCCTTGGCATGTACAGCTGTAGGGATGAGGCTTCTGACAAGAAGCTTGGTGAGTTGCAGAGGTATCTATCAATCCCAGCCTTCCTCTTTCTCCAGTGGCCAAGAAAGTATAGGTTTTGGTCAATAGTCTCCCCAAAGCAGAGATTTTTAAAAGTTGCTTTCACTGCCCTACAAGGGTAAGATCCTGCAGCATTCCTTTTGATGGGAGCTTGAGTAAGATTTCTTGCCTCATCTGCAAGTCTATTTTCGCATAGGAATGGATTTTAATCCTTATGAACTTTACTCCTTTGAAAGTTGCTTGAAATTGGCCAAGAAGTTCAAATGTTACTGAAAGATAACTGTCTTGCATGCGCATGCGCACACTTATTACATAAAATTTGTTTCTTCACTAAATCTTGTTAAGAGCTATAGAAGGAAATGCAATGAAATACAGCAAGTGTTTATCGAATGAGCTCTCTCTCTGTTTTTATAAGAAATTACTTTTTTTTTTTGGAGGAAGGAAATGCAGTAGATGCAGTTGGTGTGGACTTCAGTAAAGCACTTGATATGCGTTCATATGGGAAATCATTACTTAAGCCTGAAAAGATGAAAATTAGTGTGAGAAATGTGTAGTAGGTAAGAAACCAGCAAGTGGGGATATGAGAGGAACTATATATCCAGAGACAGGCTCTGCGCCTTTCTTCCAGAGCTGCTCCTGTGGCCAATTTCATTTAATATCCTCCATAATGAACTCAGTGCAAAAAGCACCTGGACGCTAATCAATGCTGGCAATAATTTTCACTTGAGGGAGGTGTAACTATAGCTACTATTTTGATCCAGAAGGAGAGCAGAGAAAGTGAGAAGGGGGCTTTTCCTTGCCACGTGACTATTATTGCAGGTGGAAGTAATATGGAATCGTATCAGCTGGAAGAGCCCTAGAAGA